CAAACATATAAAAAAATTAACATAATTTTTTTTTAACCCTCCAAACTCACCCCAGACCCCTTTCTAAACCCAACCCCTACCCCACTCCCCACCCCCATCCCAAGACCACAGAGTGAGTTCTGTTAACTCCCAACAACCACCACTCACTCACCACCCCCTTCCGTGAGCGGCGTACATTAGTATTCCCAAGAAATCAGCGCTGAGCCTCGACTAGAATGGGAAGGCACGAAGTCATGACGTGGGACATCGGCGAAGACACAGGGTAAAGTCTCCGCCAGAAATGTCACTGTCTGGCCAAGCCAGCCGGGATGGGATTACATGATGGATTGTTGATTGATTGACAATGTTTTACGCCCTCACCGAGACAATTTAGGTCTTTTAGAAAGGACGGGCAGCTTAAAGTAAAAAAAAAAATACAAGGTCGATATAAGTTAATCTATTTTATTTTGAAATATTTAAAAGTACAATTCTCAGATGCCATAATTAACAAAGGAAATAAATAAGCGTTGGTCGTCATTGTGATTTACTATCCAGTCTATTTTTTTCAGATCTCCATGTGTTTTTCATCCTCATCTCTTTCTTCTTTCTGTCTTCTATCTCTTTCAGTCTCTCCCTTTCTCTCTCCCTCTCTCTCTCTCTCTCTCTCTCTCTCTCTCTCAACCTCTAACTTTCTTTCATCATCTCTCTGCTTCCTCTCCTTGTCCCTCTCTCTTTCTCTCCTTCTTTCTCTCTCTCTCTTTCTCTCTCTCTCTCTCTCTCTATCATTGAAATCATCCTTCAGCTTCAACAACCTTACTCCTTTTTCTGCCAAATCATCACCCTCCAGAGAGAGAGAGAGAGAGAGAGAGAGAGAGAGAGAGAGAGAGAGAGAGAGAGTGAGAGAGAAACTTTCTAAATCAGTTTTATTTTAAAAAATCAATAGCTGGCGAATTTAGAGAAAGAAAAAAATGAAGCGGTCATATTTCAACCTCATTATCATAATTTCCACAGGGAAAATTACGTCAATGTCCCAAAGTGAGGCTGAGGGGAATTCACAAAAATACTCTCACTCCTTTTCCCTTCCACTACTACAACCTCAAATCAAACTTACATTCACACCCACCCCCTCCTCCTTAAAGGTACACTCATATACACACACACACACACACACACACATACACACTCACACACACACACATACACAGACTTATAAACACACAAAACCCGCATACACACACAAACACATACA